GCTCTCGTTGCCTACCATGGTGGCAATGATGAGAGGATGCTAGATACCAAACTCAATGAGGGAGTATTATCACAGGGGCAGAAGCAGCTGTTTTGTCTAGCGCGGGCGCTGTTGAAGAAGAGTAAAATCCTACTGCTTGATGAGCCAACTAGCAGGTATGTTCATGGCCTCTATTAACAGAGTCTGGCTTTCTAACTAGAGTCTCGCCGTAGTCTGGACAGCGAAACCGACGCCAGAGTACAAAAGGTTATACGAGAGTCATTCGCAGACTGTACCGTGATTATGGTGGCCCACCGGATTCATACCTTGTTGGACTTCGACCGGGTCGCTGTCCTGGATAGTGGTCGAATTATCGAAACAGGTCATCCACGTGAGTTGTTGGACAAGCCGGATGGGGCGTTTGCGAAGCTGTTAGAACTGGAGGCGTGACACATGTGTCGACATGGTCGATCCTGTGGCATGTGGTGGTTGTTGACAAGAATGTAATTAGAAGTGGCATCGTACTGTATGACCGCGACTTATTTTACCGTAAGCGACATGGCCGATTTGCAAACACGACTACTGATATATGAGGTGGATGAACCAGTGTTGCTAGCCAAATCTAATGGAGTATCTTATGCCGGATCGATAGCCTGCCAATTAGGTAACGATACGCAGCGAAAAGAGCAACGTTATTTCATGAACTGGATGTTCAAATGAACACTAAGGAAATAATTCTTATCTCCTTTCTTTTGGCCCCATCATCTCTTTGAATAACCGGGAAACGTCCTTCGCCTGGTGAGATTGCGAAAAGAGAAATGGGCTGATTGCCCAGGCAATCTCCCTACCAGACTGGTTCAAGACTGAACGGCGAACCAGGTACGATGTATGAAGAGCCGGGGTATTCGGGGGATCCGTGCGGCCTGCTGGCTACAGGCCGATTCTATATTGGCTCCGTAACACCAACTGGGAGATTATGTGGCAACCAGGAGCAAAGCGTTCATGTATGGTTCTGTTAACTGAGTGGAGTAAATGAGGGATAAACCATATCTCCTTTTTGTATATGTTCTGTACCGCAGAGCCTTCAGAGTGGTAAAGCCCTTCAATCGCGCTCATCGCGGTTCATACCTCCAGTGGGTCCTGGAAGGTAGTAATACCGTACTACTGCCCAGATGGCAGGGCCACTGAAGCATTGACTGGGTATTTATTGGACAGAAGATCCCTCCTAGTGCAGACAGTAGATAAAAGATACTGTTTCCTTTCACTGATGATGTGTTCTACATATCACTATGACTTAGGATAAACTAGTACATTCTAGACAAGGAATCAATTTCTGAGCTGCAATACCTCCCAAACACATAGGTAGATTAAAGCGACATAAAGAGCGGAGCGTAGAATATGAATGACGTGTACCTGCCTGACAGCACTGAAGAGTTACACATGGCCCTGATGATGATGCAATTCGGTTTAAAAATAGATTGCTGCCTCAAGAACACAGGAGACAAAAGATTCTGCACCTCGAAGATTGATTGAATCTTGGCCCACATCAGAAGTCTTCTGCTGAATGGGTTATCGTTGTAGATAGAATCTGGCAGATCCGAAGTGTCCTATCACAGGACCGAGAAATTGGATACAAGCTTACATCACGCACTGCGCTTGGAGATGCTGGTTGGAATGATAGTTGTCATTACCCATGTATCCATAAAATAGAAAGTATGGCATATGCTTTGCCTCTTGGCTACCTCAATCCAATGGCAAAGGACTTCTATGGACCAAAAATAGAAGCCAATGCGGAGATTGTAATGACTGATCATCCATAACAGTTTCTTTGTCTATGCAATTAAGACCCAATATACATCCTAGTACTACCTGACTACCAAGAAAATACCTAGCTTTTGCCTAGAAATACCAAGACTGGGATTAGAGTTTCCGCCAGCGAGACATTTAGACAATGACAACGATTGGCGCGCCGATATATGCACTGCCACCTTCACGGTCCCCATGTACTACTTGCAAAGGGAAATGCAAAGCAATTTCCCATTTCCACATTCTCCCACGGTCTAGGCAACGGAGCAGAAGCATGATAATGACATGACATACTCTATCCTGCACAATACGGGCTCTTGGCTCTTAGCCATTCCCCGTAGTACCACAGCATCAACGGCGCAACAATGCCAAGCGCCAGACTGACGAATGCGAGCAGACTATTCCCCCATCCCAGACCCAAGGCGCGGTACAGACTCTCTGCAAATAATGGAAAGGCAAACCCAGCCAATGTTCGTACAAATGCTGCGGCACCAGTAGCACTGGCCGCATAACGGCTATAGGCGTCGACGACATATGTCTGAGCACACTGGAAGGAGATTATCAGCCCAATCGCAAAGATCGCGGCACCAATGTTGGGTATGATCCAGTGCGTATGGTATTCAGCACTCCACCCATAGATGAATAATCCAATAGGGACGAGTAGCCCTCCTGGGAGCATCAGAGGAATGCGGAATTCGGGTCGTCCTGGATGGTCATAACGTCTCTGAAGGTGCACATATACCTTCAAGGTCTGTGGTTAGCATGCTTTGTATGGACGCTAGCCATCGTACCTGGTGAATGAATGGCTTACTGTGTCAAGAACGCGACCACAGAATTGAAGCCCGATCACAAAGCCTACGCCAAGCGAGATGTAGTTCAAGCTGGCTATGTCCTTTGCTTGGCTGTACACGCCCTCCCAGACCAGAGGGAACGATGCTAGGCTGTTGCGTATGAGTAATGGAAACTTGGGGATCGTAGAAGTTGGAGATATCCTCACACAAGATACATCAGTCCATACTGGTAGCCTCTGTATAGGGACAGGGCTTGGATAGCAGGCTGAGTAAAAAGCATCCGGAACGGGCGAATCAGGTTCTTCCGAAGGACTTGGCCAAAGGTCCGATCGGGCCTATCATACTCGGTATGGAGATGGTGGTTACCTGTCAATTCCTGCAGCATTCTTTTTCTAGTTGCAAGAATCTTGGGGGCATAGGTTTCGCGCAGAAACAGGAATGCTAATAGCTGCACCAGGGCATCGGCCATGGACACAACCCAGAAGATCCATCGCCACGACAGATACTTCGTCAAGTACCCACCCGCTGCATCCACGGCTCGTATTAGGTCTTGGGCTTCTTTCTATCGTGGGGCATTACGGAGTTGTCCTCTCGGCACTTACCAATAGGGCCAATCGCGGGCCCGATAAACGGCATCAAGCTATAAAGTGCCGTGGCTGCTCCGCGTTCCTCTTTGCGCCAACAGTCGCTGAGGACTCCGCCACCAATCTAGACAGAAATTAGCGAATCCGCCGTGAAGATGCTAGTCTGGATACATACCGCTTGCGGGGCACTGCCACCGAATCCGCTGAGGAACCGAAAGGCAAGCATCTGGTTTCCAGAAGTAGCAAACCCGCATACGGTGTTGAACACTAAATAAAACATGTTTGCGGACTGGAGTACGACAACACGTCCATACATCTCAGACAGTGGTGCGATTATAAACGGTCCCAGCGCATACGCGAGTAAGAAGATCGACATGAGGAGATATTGCTTGATATCCGACTGGATTTGAAATTCATCCGCCATGGTGGATAAAGCAGGTGCTACCATGGTGGAGGACACGGGGGAGATGAAGGTAAAACAGGATACTAAGAGTGTTGAGATCCATTTCCTCGGACGACTCCAATTGAGAGGGTTTGATGGATCGTCTGCGCCGGACCATGTTACCTATGCTATATCAGGACCTCGCATAGGCCAGGGCTAAGAATAGAGCTGAGGGGAGACATACCAATGAATCCTGATCCGCAAACAACAGACGGCTCTGTTGACTATCATGAGAGCCTGAATTCGGTTCACCGCTGCTTTTGCCGCGGTCTTGGTCCGATTCAAAACCGACCTGTGTACCATTTGACGGTGTACCGTGCCTCTGGTACGAATCAGAACTCAGACGAACTGCGGGAACGGGAATGCCATATCGAGAGTCGTAGTCTCTGTAGAATTGAACTGAAGGCAGGGGTATCATTCGATCCTCCTCGTCACGACTTTGTCTCGGGACAAAATGTGACATGGTGTGAGCAATGTCGGGGTAAAGCGAGCGACAATACAAGTAGGGATATACGGAAAAGAAAGTGTACGCGAGGTGCCTTTTATGTGGTTCTATTGGACCTTCAGTGCAGTTTTATGTTCATCTTCGAGTCTTGCTGCCATCCGAGTTGGTCAACCTGCGCCCACTCCGCACAGACTCTACATACCCAATATTCTATTTTTGATCCTGTATCAAGCGCATTTCAACTCTGGTACAATATACTAAGGCTGTGCAGAAGAGTAGACAGTGTCCAATTTAGTGGCGTTCGAATTTCGTTTGGCCAAGGAGAAAGGCAGCAGTGTAACGGCATGGACTAGTGGCTTTGCTTTGTGGGCAAGCTTCAAGTAGAATCGGGAAATTGTCCTCGTGGACCCATAGAATCCGATGTCGCCTAGTAGTCCAGTCCCCCAACTGAGCCCTTAGACGTCATTCTTGGAGATATTCTGATGTTGACCACGGCATTGCTTAGGGCTTTCTCCGCCAAGCTGGTCTACCATGGCACGCGGGATCTGTATATGCCTTATTTCCAGGCAACCATATTAAACAATTTTAGAAACCATGCCTGGTTGTCACCTAGGTGGCTTTGTCTCAGGCTCAAAGGCGTGGTTTGTGGCCGTGCTTCATCGGTTAGGCGATATCGACGGCATGCTAGTGGTGACCATGCCCTGTCAGAGAATAGTAGAGATGGGCTGAAGAGACAGGAAGATATTAACACATGACTCTTTGTGGTTTCACCCCGCTGTAGCTTTCTGGGTTTTGCTGTTGTATATAATGGCGCTGCGGCCTCAATGGCATCTCTGTTTCTGTCAAGAAGTATCGACAACACTCGTTCATAATCATACTCTCGTTCATCATCAGAAGAGCTTCACCGATAACATTCGTTTCTTTCTATTGACTTTTTATTTTGACTGTCCACAATGAACGTATTGGTCTGTCCGTCTGGCTTCAAGGGGAGTATTGACCCTCTGACCGCGGCCAACTGCATCGAGGCGGGCATCATGCGTGCTCTGCCGTCTGCCAAGATACGCAAAGTACCACTCGCAGATGGCGGCGAGGGGTTTGCACACGCCCTAGTTGCTGCTACAGATGGCCAAATACGTGAGGCCATCGTCACTGGTCCTGTTGGTGCCCCGATATCCTCGTTCTATGGGGTCATTGCACAAGGCCAGTGCAAGACCGCGGTTATCGAGATTGCTGCTGCAGCTGGGCTGAGCCTAGTGCCTCACGACTGCCGAAACCCATGCATTACAACCACATTCGGGGTAGGGGAGCTGATTGCCTCCGCGCTGGATGAAGGGGTACAGCGTATCATTGTGGGCTGTGGAGACTCTGGCACCAGTGACGGTGGGGCCGGGATGCTCCAGGCCCTTGGGGCACGATTGATCAATCGTGAAGGTACTGAGATCCCTTGGGCTGCAGGGGGCCAGTCCTTGATTCCACTGGAGAGCATCGACCTTTCCGGATTACATCCTCGTCTGAAGGACGTCGAGATCGAGGTTGCTTGTAACTGGAAGAACGTCCTCTGCGGGCCGAACGGAGTGGCCTGTGTATATGGTCCGCAGAAAGGCGCATCTCCCAAACAGACCAAGCTGTTGCAAGCTGCGTTGGATATGTACGCTTCTGCTTGTAAGCGCATTTTAGGCCATGATGTATCTGAGATGCCAGGAAGTGGAGCGTCCGGCGGGTTGGGTACAGGTTTGCTGCTCTTAGGCGCGATGCTTCGTCCACGATACGAAGCCATCATGGAGTATTTCAACCTTGAAGGATTGTTTGAAGATTGCGATCTGGTATTCACTGCTGAAGGGGGTATTGATTACCAGACTCCGAGAGGAAAGATCCCAGCGGAGGTTGCGATACGCGCAAAGAAGCGTCAGATCCCGGTTATTGTGCTGGCAGGTACAATCGGAGACGAGGCAGAGGTAAATTACGACGTTGGAATCAATGCGTATGCCTCAATCCTCCAGCGCCCATCCACCCTGGATGAGGCTATTGCGGAGGCTGAACGACTTTTGACGGAGAGCGCAGAGGGGGTAATGCGTATGGTGGTCATTGGCCGCAAGCTGGCCAGATGGTGAGAGTGAGAGGAAATCGGACGGATGATTTATGGCATGTTTATACCTGAGCTAGAATTGAGATCATTAATTATAGGATGTTAAAACTAGAACTACAGCACACAATCGTAGCTATATTTGTTATGGAAGTTCTATTTTTATCAATCGTATTTTGCCAGGACCTCGACATGATGATCCATCACCCCAGATTGGGAGATTATCACCCCAATTTCCTGGTGGTGTAGCATGTCGTCGTAACGTATATGAAGATCACCAGCCTTGGCGCTGGATACATAGCGATTCTTTTCCAGCAGAGCATAGGGTACGGGGCAAGCTTCCTGTGGATTCGTAAGCTCCCTCGTTGAAATCTTAAGCATAGCCCAGTCCTTGCGTGGTACTTTGCGTAATTCCTTTAAATTTAGAAATTCGAATTGACTCCTCGACAAGTTCCCCCACTTGTTGGACGATTGAGAGTTCAGGAGTAAACAAGCATGATGCAATGAGAGGCATGTATACGTTTGCATATATATTTCTGTTTACTTCATCCCCCACGTTGCCCCCATGTAATAGTGCCCCTACTCAATAAGAAGCAGGTACGCTTGTTCCATTCCCCTTATCCCAGGAAGATTAACATCACCGACTGTGTCATCAGGAGTCCTCAACAGATGGGTCATGCGCAGCCGCATATAGAGAAACCCGTGGGCCGTGGTACTGGGCCATGCTTTGCCCATGTCTTTGATCCTATTCCAGACCCTGTTGATTCTGAATAAATCACAGAGGGAAAGCCGCATCTACCCCCCTATTCTCCTCAGTCTTCGTGTTGTGGTCTACTGAACGTATCCACACAGACTCCTCACAACTGTCCTTTGGATGAGGAAGAAATATTTCCATGATCCATATTAATGTTTCAATGACGAAAAGAATCATACACGAGAAGCACTGATTCATCTCTCTGATCCGGGTGTGCCTTTAGTGAAGTACAACCCCGTGTCCGTTCGCTAGGCATATGAAATACGGATGTATAATGTTCATAACGATCGTTTCACTGCAGGATCTATCTGAATAAATCCTTGATTCATGTCTCTCTAATAGAGCCTTTTAGCTAAATAAAATTTTCACCGCCATTCCATGCTATCAGAGTAGTGAAAAGAACGTCGGCTAACCTGAGCCACATATCCCCTGCATTCTCACCGACGTACAACTTATCACCGTAGTCACCACAGTCGTCATCCCCGTTGTCATCCCCGTTGTCATCCCCGTTGCCACCAACGTCGTCATCGTTCGACCAGTCTCCTTTACTTCGTTGTTCTGCGGTGCTCACTTTGACCATGTTTGGTGGGAAAAGGATTGCACTGACCCTATTGCTCCCCAATGCTGCCAGGTTCTATATACCATGACAATGAAATTATAATTGTCAGCCCCAGCACAACACACATCTATAAGGTGGGAAAAACACTGACCTGCATCTCATGATAAACATGTCGTATATTTCCCTCTGCGATGACACGGTAACGAACTCTCGAAGGGTTTGCGTCTCGCATGGTTACGACGTAATCACGTGTTGCTCTAAAAAGCTAATAAAAGTGAGCAACTAGAAGGGCCTTTAGCGGATGAATCTGGTTCATGGACGTTACCTCAAGATGGGCTTCCCTGATACTATCAACCTCTTCGGCGGACCACTGGGCTATCATTCCGGGCTTTATACGCGAATAAAGAGACTTCACATGCTCAAATCTGGGAACTATAGTATCCTCTATATCGTGATAAATTTGTTCAAGTGCAGCGTCCTTGTCGCCTTCTGTTTGTAATTCTAAGTTAACTGGCTCCAGTGCGGTTTCTGCCTTTGTATAATTTCAGGAACAGAGGGCTCAGAACATACCATCCAGATCTTCCAGATGCGGCTTGGACTCCTTGAATGCCTCCGTAGCCAGACGGGTGACCTTCAAGGCCGCTTCGAGTGCCTTTGACATGTTGAATTGTGGAAGAAAGGTTGTCGTGACACGAATAATTCTGTGGTAAAGGCTCCGTCAGAGAAACAGAGCGAGATGGGACGGAGGGGGGCGGGGCACAAGCTTTATTAATAGAGAAGAGACACCTTTTAGATTAACTAACGAAAGCAGTGAGTGCTGTGCTAAACTTTCAAATCTACTTGCGCCCCCGGGCAATCTGGTTGGTCCACAGGCTATCGTGTCGATCTCTGTGGAGCAGTTCGCTTAGAGATCGTGGGGAGAATCTTGATGCTAGCACAGGACTAGTGGGCTCAGCGTGGGCCTACCACAACATGATCACGTCGAGGGGCATATATTTATGCAGTTCCTTCCACATGGCGGTCTTGCAGGCCACATCCTGAATGATCCCTTTAGATTTTACTGAAATCCTGAGCCCCCTCAGAGCTAACACGCCGCCTCGAGAGAAGTTGAGATCCCCCACACTGGTCGGGTACCACTATTTCGCTGGCAGCATAATATGATTTCAGCTTGGTGGGGCAAAGCTTTGCTCGGCGGGGTGCTTTTTCAGCTCTTCAATATATCAGCCAAAAGTTAAAATAAGTTGTATACGTACCCTCGGCTGGGCTGTTAAAGCCTAACCCGTACCGCGCTATGACTGCCATTCCAATCGGCAGCAAGACAAGATACCTAAAGTCGCCAGACTCGCCACAAAGATGACGTGGCAGAGAATAAAAGTCCAGGCGCTCTTGGCTCCCACAGTAGGCGTACTTAAACAGCGGGCATTGAGCGTAGTAGATCTAGAATTGGAATGAAGTTTTAATTCATTAACAACCCTTTGTAAATTTCAGTGGCATAATCTATTAAAGTCTATCGGGAATAGGTCTCTTTGGCGACGGATACTATGTTTGGTCTTCTTCAGGGCCCATGAATGGGCCCTAGCTATTAAGCCTAAGTTCAATCTTTAGCCTTATAATAGGCCCTTGCGGCACAACCCCATCATGGTGTCCTGACCGTCCTACGCCCACCTCCAAAGCATCAAGCACAAATCGTTGATTCGTGTGTCCGGGCTGTCGAGATAAGTAGCGAAAGTGGGAATGGCATTGAGTTGTTCTAGTTAGTCTTTTATAGTATATAAAAGCTGAAGCTTAAAAAAGGCTTCTTTAACAGAAATCTTTCTTTAACCTGATACCATATTAGTAGAGGTGCTAGGTAGAACCTAGAAATCTTAGTCCATTGATGATGGTTATCGCAACCCCTGGAACGGCATTTTTCCGCATTAATCTGCCTCCTTCGTGGAGCCAGTTGTGGCTTGATTATTCCTGCGATTTTGGCTATATTAAACCACGATCCCTGGATGTTTCTACACTCTATTCTTCTTTTTGTTTTGTTAATCTTTGAGTATTGGTTTTCTAGTAAGAGTATTTCCCAAAATCTGCCACTTAATCAGCAATATGATCCGCTCCCTCACCACTCGGGAAGCTCGTGATACAAAGGTAGGCTTAAATAACCTTTACTGTGGTTGGCAACTTCTAAAGGGGGTTTTTTCGGACAGCCACGACACGACCCCATCGACGCTGAACCCGCCCGAATCGACACAGAGCCTTATCAATCTCCTGATGGTCAGTCTAGCATTCGTCAGTTTCCATTTGCCCATGATCCCTATATCGGCCTCCCCGTATTAGGGGTGGGCATGACTGGGATTGTTTACGAGTTGGGACAAGACCGTGTTGTTAAGAAAGCTAGGCAATTGCAACTGCCAGACGCTGGTGATGCCGAATACATGAACAAGATCAACCAACAAACCCTAGAGAATAAGATCGAAGTCCTTGAACGCCTTGGCAGCTGCGAAGGAATTATCCCCTACTTCAAAATATCCCAGTATGGCATTGAGCTAGCCCGTGCGCAGGAAGATCTTGAATCCTACCTAGAAACCCATCCAGAATGCGAGGACACTTTGAAGGTTGGGTGGATATTAAGTCTTATCCAGAATTTCTCATATATCCACTCTTGCAAGGTATTTGTGGATGATATCGCTCGTCGGAATATTTTAATTATAGACAACCAGCTTAAGGTCGCAGACTTTGGCCAGTCTATCTTATTACCACTTGATGCCGATATTACTTCCACGGACGAAGATGGTTTAAATGTTCAGATTGAGATACTACACCTCGGTTGGATTTTCTACTCTATTATTTCCTGGAAGATTCATAAGCACTATTTCTTTAACGCCGAGAACCCTGACTTTTGTTGGCCGGCTTCATTCGCAAATGTTGATGATATTCTCTGTGGCAGGATAATCAAGAAGTGTTGGCACGGTGGATATAGAAGCATGCATCATATCCAATATGAGGCACTCCAGTTACTCGTTAGTCACTAATTCAAAGCAGAACTTTCTACCCCATGCAAGATAAGGGCCCGAATTGTAGAAAAGTGGCTGAGAAATATAGGCTCCTCGTAAAAGATAAGGAGACCCTGCTCTTTCATGGCATTTCTTCGCTGCAGACTGGACGGACCCAGATAGTGAGACAAGGCCATCTGTCGAGATAGGTGGCTACGACATGTGCTACATCCAGGCTGGGGAGGGTAAGTATTACAACTAATGAACAATATGCCTGCCTCGGTAGATACCTGCAGATACTAACTTGTCACGAGCCATATCAATTGCAAAATCTTTGGCAACACCCGTGGACCACCTGTGTATGTCGGGATTCAAAGGCTAAATCGGAGCACTATATGCCCCAACCCCCATTATCGGCAGAAGTAGTTGGTTGACATGGGGTCTGTTTGCAGTTACAGAACTACAGTGTCAAGAATAAATCAAAGCAATATCACTCCGTCATTCTACCTAATACGGTACATGAGTGAAAAACCAACTTGAGCGTGATACATATGGCCCCAGTAGACAGCACCTGCAACCTCTCTGTAACAACGCCCTTGAATAGCCCAAGGAACAAGCCAATGTCAACACTCTCATCCGCGGCAGTTGCAGCCAAGGTACTTGTTCGTGCAACGGCCAGCCACACCATTGCAGTCGTTTGCATCGCAGGGTCCCACATCACTGCCGCAGTTGTATCCGCATGGACAGCCTTTCCACGGGCCCTGTTTGCCGCCAAGTTAGCTAACCGAGAGTAGTGCGGCTTGGATAGGATCATACCGAAGTACAGGTTATCTTGTCGTTGCTCAGCTGCCCATTGCAGTCATGATCATAGCAGTTGCCATTGGGATAGCCGCACTCAGCAGCAGAAACCGCCAAGGCGCTCAGAGCGAAGAGGGCAATAGTGGTGAAACGCATGATTTCGAATTAGAGAACTCTGAAAATGTCACGAGGGTTGGAAAGTGATTGGAAAGTTGTTGTGAGTAGGAATTACAATCTTTCACAACGCCGGGGAAGGTGCCCTTATTTATATCTTTGTAGTCTGACTTGTGCTCATGGCCCTTCGAGAACCACGGATGATAGTCAAACATTTGTCCCGACCCTCCATAGTCGTACATCTGCTCTGGTGTGGTCTGGCAAGTGCTGTTAAGCCAATATCGCCGAGGGTTACAATCGCTGGCTCTACCCTAGACAACGGAGTATAGAGTATACTCACTACATTGCTTCCATAATTTGCAACACATGGAAGTAATCATCCCATTGGATCTTGGCGAGGATACCGACAGTAACCGGGTCCAAGAGTGAACTTGCACTCTATGCGATATGCTACTGCGGAGTCACTTGCCAAGAGACTAGAGAAGGGGTACACTGCCTGGCATGGTGTGCCATGGAGGGGGCTGTTTACGTAAACTCTTCATGTCTGTGCTATCCCAATATATGTGCATGGATCTAGTTGCTTACATCCCCTCACGAAATAGACTAGTTCCCTGAGGAGTTACATTTGATATCAGCAGTCTTTAATCTGCATACATGGCACCACATTTGCCTTGCGTATATCTCACTCCGCACTGTTAAGATGGGTCCTCACCCTGTAGCATCTGAGTAGTTGTTCATCTGATATATCAATACTAGACTGGGAGTGGTGGGCGCGTTCACCATGACTATGGATACTTCATTTCTTGGGTATGTATGTTGCAGACTTGACAGCACCTGGAAGCTCCGCACGGGCCACAGAAAACCAGTCGTAGCACATTATATGCTGGTATGGAGCTAGCCGTAGTCAGTTAGAAAGACGCATTCCCCCTTGCTAGTTGCAGATTACGGGTTCTTCATCTGGGAGCGAAAGATCAATGCACGACCAGTGAAGCTACGTACAAGTTAACCCCGAACTAATCAGGGCTCATATTCGTTCTCTTGCCTCATCCTTGGCTAGGTCTGCAGGGGTTATCAGCCATCGGATTCTCCCAAGGTTACAACGGTTTTATAGTCCTGTTCTTGGTGCAGTGAATCCCCGTGATGCTGGGCGAACTCGAACATGTGAGTCTCCGCATGGAAGTCCACGGGAGAACCAATAATTTTACAACATAACCCAGTGACATCGGGCGGAAATTAATGTTCTTCCGATACAACGTGTAGGGTCAAGGCTGCATGGTTTGGTCCTTGCTAGATTGCGAACTACTATCTATCTCCCATGGAAAAAGACCTTGGCTGCATCTTGTTCCTAATGTACGAAGAGGGGGGACACTCTAATGGTATCAAACTTGCAAACCCCGAACCCTGTACTTCCATCTTGGCAATTTCATGTGTTGTCCTATGTGTAATGTAAACAACACGTTCAAAGATTTCTACAGATATTAGCTATGTTAGGATATTCCATTACATTACTCTACTAATACACCATAGGTGCCGATTGTACCCCGACAACATTGGTGGGCCCTGTGCGAGGATAGTCATTGAGTCGATGCCCCACTTAGTGTAATCTCGCCTTAAGATGATAGAAATCTCCAGCATCGATTCTCTCTTTTATATATAAAAGCCCCTTGGCAAGACGATGTTTGCGGTTGATCAATATTGTTCCTAAAGTGGAGTCTGGACGAAACAGGGTTTGACTGTACTTACATACAGAGGACAGATGGAGAGTCTCAAC